TCCAGCAGAACGGTTGTCAAGGCATTGACTTCACTTGTCTCTTTGACGAGTTCGTATCTTGGTGCGGAGAGTGGAAAGGCTCACTGATGATGCCGACTACGTTGCCGGTGAAACGTTTGAGAATGTATCAAGTCCATTGTCATATGCTGGGGATCATGACAACTACTATGGCAGACGGCTTCGGACTAGGTGCGTTCTACATGGTATCCCTGAAAACAAGACCAAGTTGCGACAAGGTCAACCCACTTCTATCAATCAAAAAGAGACTGTGACCACACCAGAGGCTACAACATCTTGGTCTTCATATATTTGATAAATTATAATTCATAATGCTAGCGGGATAAACACAGTTATTTTGTAAGATATACGAATATCGGCTTTCAAAATTACAGATTTCTGGTGGACAATAGAAAGTATGAAGTAAAGAAATAAGTAAACACTAAACCTCTGTCGAAGCCAATTGGTCAGTGTTATCGTCAAAAGAAGATTTGGAGCTTGGCAAGCGAAGTCTGTGCCCAGTAGAAAGGTCGATAGCACCAGAAAGCTTCGCAAAAAGAGACCTGTGGCTGAGAGGATCGAAGTCGGAAGAGGGAGAGCTGGGTAGACCGGGATACCGAGATTCGTCCGGCAAAGTGTATATGAGCAAAAGATTTGGATCGTTCGGAGGAGAAAACACCAAGGTCCGGCAAAATTCACTTCTACATGACAAATTACTGTCAGTGACTTCGGTAAGCTGAATTCATATGAAGAAAAGAAAAATTTGAAACAAAAATAAAAAAGAAGTTGTTGGACGTTGTTTTCGCAACTTGGTCATATTTTTAGAAGACTTAGAGGAACGCACCTTGTCCGGAGTCCACTGTATGCATAATCATTTCCAAAGTCTGACCGTGGACGTGGTACATTCCCAGATGTAACGCCGGCATCGCCAGTGAGTTTTGCCATTCGTTGCACCATATTACAACTCGTCAAAGAGACAAGTAAAGCCGATCCTTGGACCAAACGTGTGCTAAACAGTTGTGGTATCTCCCCTTCTGTCCTGACCCATTCACATTTTATATATCCCCCTATCACGCCTTCACTGTCATAATTTTTTACTTGCTTAATTAGATATAGTACGGTATGCCCTTTTAAGCGGCTTTCATGAGCCCTCGGCACTCCATGCTGGCCTTCTCACCCCCACTTCATGCTTGTGCTGGGAATGCCGATTAGAGTCTGCCATATTGTTACGCAGTCCTCCTTCCCTAGGTCTTACCAAAATCTCTCTCTTGCCCCGTAAGATCCGTCTGCCCTCTCCCTGGTTCACATATTTCACTCGACCCCCACTACCCCATCTGTGCCAATCGAGGCGTTATTGGCCTTACTTTGCGTCTGGGTGACTAATTCGAGGCTAAAACCTCCTAGTAAGTTTCATGGTCACGCCTTGGAAACATGGACCACGTCTCTTATAAAACCTACTGTCTTTCAACTAGCTCCCATGGCCGCCGCTCTATCCTATTTCTATCTATAATACCAAGTCTATGACTTGTCATGCCCTAGTCTCTTGTGTGCCAAACCACAAATGTTGTGGTACTGCTTGCTTTGGTTAGATACTTTTATTAGCTTAAATGAAATAGGCTCAATACAACTCATATGATCTTCCGAAAGTCTTGAAAACGTACTTATAAACGAAAAAATGTGTACTTTTAAAACTGTCTAGATGATTCATGTAAACATCTCCTTTGTAAAATTATTCAGATAAGATATGTGCCTTATTAATGGAATTACAGATAATAATTTAAATGTGAAATAGTAGTACTTTAGAATGAACTACTTAAGGTAACTATTTAATGTCCCATGCACAGTGTAATAGCAGTTTCAAATAAGTTAGCTAGGGGAAAAATCATGTTTATAAATAGTTTACGGTTGTATTACATCAAATACGACTTCTTCGAGCATCAATGAAAGTGGTGGCAGCCTGCCCTCAGAAGATATTGGAAAATTTTGATCGCTGGCAAAAAAACAAAAAAAATCAAAAGAGATTGCTAAGACAGAACAAAAAAGTAGAGCACCAAGAATACTCTATAATTAAAAATAAGAAAACAACTGCTAGCTTTTCTATAAATATATATGCCCCATGTATACTTTGAGATAATCAGTGAGAACATGAAATTCGAAAATATTTAGGATTTTTATAGAGTTCGGATAGACATGTGAGTTTAGGCCATTCATTATTAGAATGAGCAAGCTCTACAGTTAAAATGTTTAGCTAAGGATGTAGAAGAAATATTTTTGGATGAGTAATGATCAATCGA